CTTGATTCTTTGCTTCTCTTTTTACAGCTAACAGATCTGTTACAATCTGCTTTCATTACCTTTGCATCATTTCTCTTAGGTTGATATTTGGCAATTCTCACTTTGTTACTCTGCTGAATTACTGCAGGATTGCTTTTCTCTGCTGCTCTGCCATTTGTCCTGTACCTATAGCATTTGAACTACTAGGCTGTAGGTACCTAGGCCTATTATGCATAATAGAGAAACAGAAGACTATCACGAGCTGTTAAGCAATAAAAATCCCTACAACATGATCTCTTGTGGTTCAAGTTTTTAGTGAAATCCTGGATAGTCATTTGCAAAAAAGCTGACATGCAGGGTTTGGATTTAATGTCACATTTCCACTCAAACTGTGGCATTGTTTGAACACAACAGCTTTGGGATCCTGGCAAAAGAGTAAAACTGTCCAAGCTGTTCCACTCTGGTTTGAATTATCTCTCTTTTTATTTATTTATTTTCAGCTTTGAAGTCTGTGTACTTTAAAAATCAATGAACATCATATTAACAAGCAGACACTAATTACATTTTAACAAACTGGAAAGGCTTGGCTACAAATCTTTGTAAAGATAAATTCCCATTTTAAACAGTTGCCTAGTCCAATTGACATCACTGGAGCAAGACAAAAGGATCTCTTTCCCAGAATTTTTTTCTATAATATGAGTCCTCACCATTGTACCATCTTGTAGATCAAGTCTGTTATGCATAATAATAGGCAGAGTACTCGTGTCTTGTACAGGATTAATGGAGAAATGAAAAGATTGCTCAGGTAATGACAATACTTAGCTCTTTGACAGCTCTTCTCATCAGTTCGTGTTTTACAAATAAACCAGGATCACTACCACAGTTTTACAGAGGAAAAAAAAGTGAGGCAAAGACGATTAATGTGTCTCATCTACAGTTACTTAGAAGGGTGGAGATAGAACCAAGTGGATTCTTTTAGACTGAGCATAGAGAGCTGTTTGGTACATTACATTGGTTGGCTGAGAAGAGGAACTCTTAACATTTGGGCACTGGAATATACAGTGGGAGACAGAGAGTTCGGATCCACGTGTTCTGCAGATAGAGAAATGTCTGAAGTATGCGTATGTGGTCCACAAATTATATCACGTCTCTTCTGAGTGCTCTGGCTGCAGGCAGCTGCACCCTTAGTATTAACGGATTTTTCAGAAGTAACTCCCACATGGAAGTAAGATCCCCACCAATATGTACAACAGTTTCTGTACTGCACAGAGAGCCAAGGCATCACGAGGTATGTGTGGTAACATGGGGAGAGTAGGACACATGGCATACTGGTGTCTGAGCAAGCTCCAGGAAACACACGGTGGAAGTTGCGCTTTTGTAACATTCCCATTGATTTCATCACTTCTGTGCTATTCCAGAACAGCTGCTGGAAGGGTCAGCAGATGAGAAACCCACTTCAGACAAGAGGCTACCACCTGCAGCACAGCAAAAGCCAGCCTGTGCCAACAGCCATTTACTGGGACTAGAGAGCGTCATGCTGGAAGCCAATAGGCTCAGCAGCCCACTTCATGCTGTGCTCTCACCAGATAAAACAGACCTGCTGCTTGCTGTGCTGGGAGCAGAAATGGAGCTATCGTAGATAAGGACTGCAGACATAATGAATGATGCTTAATGCTTTGCTGTAGCACGAGAGATCAGTTTGGTGCTCCAAAAACTGGAGGATACATACAGTTCTGGCCTACCCACAGGGTAACAGAGGCAGAGAATTTTCACAGAAAGTTCTTTGAGGGACTCAGTGGGATGGTACAAAAGCAAGCTTCACTTGTCATGTTTGGCACTTTTGTTCCACAGTGACACATATCACATTTCTTCTGTTACTGCAAGTACTTGACTTACCTTCAAAGGTCCAGATTTCATGGCAACACCTTCTGGTTGAGCTTGTTTGTCAGAAAGATACTTATCTGCTGGAATAATCCACAAAGCATGTCCTTCTGTACTTGAAAAAAAAGAGATCCACCTGTAGCACTGGCACCTTAGCAAGGACGTCCAGTGAGGGCATCACAATCATCAAAGACTCTGTGCATGACTACTACTAGCATCACCTCTGAACAATTTTCAGCACCAATACTGTTCACTGCAGATGGTGGCTCAAGCATCACTGCAAACCTGGCTATCCCTGCAGCTCAAGCTATTGAACTTGGGTCTATTGATAGTAATTAAAACTACTTGATCTTTGTGCAGCATCTAGTAGGTGTGACTACCTATAAAACATAAGAGAATACGAAGTGTCAGGGACATCTGCTATAGACTCCGTCTATTCTGCCTTCTCACCATGAACAACTTGGAGTCACACATGGGCTATAGCATCTCTTTTTGCCTAGCTCAAAATCACCATTTGAATATCAAAGATTTAAGTTTCCCTCAAACCTGATTTAAAAAACTGTAAAACTCTTCCAATGCTCACAGAAAGAAAATTGTTTGCACACCCTTAAGTCTACCTCTCTATTACTTTTCCATTTGACAAACGTGTTGGATTTATCACTGCTCCCTTACTATGTCCTGTCAGTGTGTCAAAAGAGACATGCTCAGCTCTTTGGTGACTGCTGAGCATCCGGTCTGATTCAGGCCCCATGCTCTCATTCTGTTGTTGCTGAATTCTTATTTTATGCGGTCAGTTGTGTGGTCGCTTTGGGACTGTCCTGATGAGTCTGACTCTCCATTTTACTAATGGAGAGAGCGAGAGCCTCATTAGTTTGTGACTGGTCTGCAGCAAGCACAACCAATATTGGATGTGTGAGTAGATGAGAGAAACACTGTGATCTGAGCTCCTTAGAAAATAACTGGAGGCTGAAATGTTCAGTTACCAATATTGGGATGGAATCTGCCATTTCTCAGCCTGCAGTGTGGCTTCTTTAAAATTTGGTCCTGATCTGTGTTTAATTTGAAGAACAATTAAACTTTAAGCACAGATAAAAAGCAGATTAGCATATATTAGACGATTGCTATTGCATTTCTAAGGAAGCTAGAAAATATATATTCAAAGAAACACCTTTAGTGTAGGCTGTTTTTCCTACTTTGTTATTTTTCCCTATTTCAACAGGATAGGGAAATATGCAATTCCCATTCAAGCAAACACATTTTGGGAAAAAGAAGAAAAAGGGAAAGAAAATTCAAATCCTACCTTAAATAAATAGAATCCCATGTCACAGTCATCTGTGAAGAGCAGCAGCTGTGGAACAGTCTGGAGACATCAGCGTTCAGATCTCTCAGTAACAGACGCAGGCAGCTCACCTCACACTGACAGGTCCCTCTTTAGTTGCTACAGGTTTAAACTAACAGTACTGACTTCAAAGCAAGGTTTAACCTGATCTACACCTGTGTGAGTAATAGGTCAAACCTACTCTTGGTTCAGCAGCTTGCGCAGGTCAGATGTGGTACAGCTGAGAAACTTAGCAACAGCAGTAGGAAACTTTTATGTGAAAAAATGAATGATTAAGGTCTGCAGGAGCTGTGAGGATACCAGGAAAATGAGGCAGAGAGAGGCAATGCCTACAATCCAGTGATAACACGCTTCAGGTCCCATGCAAGTGCCTGTGTGCTTTCCCTGAGACCTGGAGGATGGAAACTTGCAGAAAAGAAAGAACAATGTAAAGAGGGAAGAACCACCTTGACAAATAAGATAAGCCCAGGAAATGTAGGCTTTCTGAAAGATGAGGTGGGATAAACGTACAGGGAAGAGCAAACAACTCAGCTGCTTTGTCAAACAGACAATTGGAGTCTTCCCCTAGCATGAAGGTCAATCAAGATTTTAGGTAAGATAACGAGATGCTGGAACTGTAGTTTGCCAGCCAAAAGTTGGTGTACACATACTTACATTTCCGCTGGGTTAAACTATGACGACTTGAGCAATTTTTATTTATTGAAAACAGTTCTTCAAAACCCCCTAAAACAATTACAGAGAACTACGTCTCCCAAGAACATGCGCACTTGAAGATGGAGTATATTGCAGGAAATGTGATCCTTATGCTAGATGTGCTAATTCCCTAATAAATACTCCACCAGTTTCTTCTTAAGCTAGCTAAAATAGGGTCTTCCAAGTGGTGATCAGCTCTAAATCTACTAAAATTGATGTAAATCTGGAAAATCTCCACTGAAATTACACTGGTGGAACAACCAGTGCCAGACCATAACTCAGCCTCATGGGGAAAAATCTAAGAGTCTGGAGTTCCTGGGGGTTGTATTATTGCACCAGTGGGGCAGGGATTTCTCCCAGAACATTCCCCAAGCACAGGGATAGTCCGTCTGTACTTGCTCTAATGTGTAAGGGATGGAAGAAATCAGAAGAAAGCATACAATAAATCAACCAACAGTCTCTGAAAAATAGCTGTCCTGTCTTCTTAATATGAGAGAGAGTAATGTTCTGAGGGCAGGAGGAATTCAGCCTTAGACAGAAAACATTCCCCTATAGGGGGACAAAAAGTGATTATTCCATAGCTTAATCAATCTCAGGCCTCTCTTTGAGGAAAAAAGCATGCTGCCTGCAACAGCACATATAATAATGCTTGCTGAAATATAAACTACGGCCAGACACCCCAAGATGGAAGGTCAGAAGTCAACTGAGGATCTGGCTGCAGATGTTCGGCAATGGAGATCAAAATGCGATATATCACGCTCTGTACTTTTCCTTGAGGAACAGGTTGTGAAAATTTCTCAGCCCATCTCCTTTGTAGTAGTGCACTCACCCTGCATGTAGCCAAGCTGCAAATCACAAATCACCAAGTTACTTAAAGACAAAGCCCACCTTTCCTAATTTCTCCATGTCCCATGTCCAAGGATATTTTAATATTTATACAGTGAATTTGCTCTTGTCCACAAACACAGCTCCCTTGGACCTCTGCAGTGCTTTTCAAGTCTGGAGCGAAGAATCACATGACACCACTTAGTCCCACCCCAGCCCTTGATAAATGTTTCCTAAAGCCAACATCTGATATCATGGAATGTGTTGTAATCAGTTCTTAAAGTTATAGCACCACTGGATTTTTATTAACTTGCATGACAACAACAACAAAAACCCAACAAAAAGTGGCCCCTCATAACCAATCAGCCTTGTTATATCCTGAAAGCAGCTTTAACAAGCAGAGAGTAATATAGTGTAATTGGTACTCCGCAATTTAATTGTACTGTTCTTAAATCTAATATTGCAGCTGCGGGTTAAGTTTACACCACAGCTTTCAAGAGAACATGAAAGTGTGGTACATCTGTGCAACAGAAACCTAAACATCTCTCATCTGATGTGTTTACAATGACATTTGATAGTGTGGAATGGTTTGGAGTTCATTCTTAAAGCTGCAGAACCACTTTTCAACACCACAGAAAAGGGAAAAAGCTACAATATCCCTCCAACTACCCAGCCCACACGAGGCCGATGGTTCTGCTGCTGAAGGCATTGCAGGGAAGCTGCAGACTGTAACATTTCCTCCAAGCATCTTTGAGCATTTGTCACTTGAGCAGTGGAAAGGAGAACAAGGACGTCTTCCTCTCAGATGACATAATCAATTATTTGAAAAATAAGCCACTCAAAAAGCCTGCAGCCTGACAAGCAAAACAGTCCCTGACATGCATAAACCAGACAAGAACATTTCAAGAAATGTTATTAAGTGGGTGACCTTAGTGCAGTTAGGAATGGCAGAGCTCTCAATTTAGCAGGTGGGAGAACTGCTCATGGTATCCCGAACGTCACAATTCTGTATAACTAACAACTTGGGCATTATGTACTTGTTAGTGAATTTATTAAGCCCATAAGTAGTTCAGGAAACTTAGGAATGGGCCCATAAATGTCATCTGCAGTTTGTGAACTGCGAGTATCTGACTGTTTTGATCAAGCTTTTTACGGGAAAGTTAAATGCTTATTAAAATTATTTACTGCTGCTACATGAAAAGGGAGCAAGCCTGCTGAGAAGCTCTCGTCGTGATAAGATGGGGAAGGCTGTAGGTCAAATACATTAGAATAAAAACATTTCTTTATTTCTAAGCCCCAACTTTTCTATAATATGAGGCTTACAGTATATTGAAGTGGCAGAGAAAGGGTCTGTGGAGGGGAGGAAACATTCCTCTTTCCCATAATCTGTTGTCAGAAATATCTGATGAGGTAACTGTTCTTGTTCTCAGCATTAGCCGTCTTCTAACTCTTTTTTTATCCCTGGAAAAAGGCACGATAGGGCAAATTAGTTAAGAGGTCACTTTCTGCTCTGTAGCAATCCACAGCGATGTCTTGATTTATGCTCTTCAGCAGACAGAATTCAATTTCACTGATGAAGCTCAGTTATACTGCCATACTGGATACAGTATACACTGGATCCATTTGGTTTTTAACCTTTATTCTTTCAGTCAAAATTAGGACTATCTGAAGCCTCTTCATAAAAAGGGGCCATAACAAAAGCGGTATGCTAGCAACATGATCAATGGATGCATTCATTCTGCATAAAAAATACCATAAGAAGAACAGATCTCCTGGGAGGCAAATCTGTATCAATATTTCAGTCTCTTAAATACAGAAATTTGATACATTAAAACGCAAAAATCAAGCTTTCCCTCCTTTCAATTAACTGAGAAACAAAAATTGTCCTTAGAAGGAAAGAAATGCATTCATATTTGGTTTTTGGGTTTTCCCCCCTTTGTAGCATCATAATGTTCTCTTCATGGGCAGAAAACTTAATCTTCAAATTCAAACCGACTTTCTTCATACAGTTCAGGATGAGATGACTTGGAATACCGTGAATATTTCAGCTGTAGAAAATCACCCAATTCATCCAGAGCATTCAAAACCTGTGTAAGAACCATCACACTGTGTCAGTTCTCTTGGGAAAAGACATGGAGTTTCATTATCTTCAACTTTACAGCAGAAGAACAAGGCCATAAAGCCATCACACAAAGTGTACAAAGGGCAAATGTTGCTTTTAAGTTTCTCATAATGAATATTCAGCCACTGATGTACAACAGCATCCGTGAGAATGCATGAGAAAGGACTCCTTCAGTAGATCATGGTGTATCAGTCAGAATGTGAGCATAGATTAAAAAGATGACATTCTAGAAGCATGGGGTCAAACAATAATCCAGGTAAAAAGTGATGATTGCTTTTGAAAAAGACACATGTAAGGCAATACTTCAGTGTTTCCATACAGATCCTGAAGACTGAAATATATTTTCTTGGATGAGATTCAGAACAAAATGCTAATCAGAGTCCTTGTAAACACCCTGCAAGGTATTTCTAATGCGTTCCACTGTTTTCTTGTAGTATCATAGGCAGAATTAGTAATGCTTCAGGACTGTATTGCAATTTGCTGAGCTGTGCCCCCAGCTCTCAGCAGATTCAAAAAGTGCTACATCACAGAAAAGCAGCTAAACATCTTGCAGCATCTTAACCACACTCAAGAAGTGCCAGACCTTTGGCAAAGAAAACAGCAAATTAGATTGTGAGCCTGTTTCTGTTAGGCCACTGAAATGTGCTCAAGAATAGAGAGAAATATTTCAGTAATGGCTCATGCAAAAAGATAGCTTCAAAATCATTAAGGAGGTTGTTATTGACAGCTTGCCAAGTGGATCTTTCCTTTTCATAGTTCCAGACTAAAATTCAAAGTAAGTTTTGCCAAAGGGAGGTGGAGGTTTTCATTGTGCTTGTTACGTGTTACTACACTGGATTTAGGAATGTTCACAAAGTATTTGCCCTAAGAAAACCTTTCAGCCCGCGTGTAATTAAACTCAGGGCATTTCCATTCCCCCACAATGTAAGGACATTTAAAGAATGCCACAAACAGTACAGAAATGACTTCAATTTCCAAGGTAAAACCACAGTATGTTCAAGAATGATAGCTGGGAAATGTTTCAGGCTGTCACTGGCACCAGGAAGCAGTGATGTGCAAGTAGGAGAAGCAAACATGCAGTGATGGCTTACAGATGTAAGCTTGACAGATGTAAGCTTGGGGTGGGTGGTGAGGAAGCAAAGGAAAGCAGCAACCTCAAGAGATTAATCTTCAGATCAACCTCCTTTATTTCTACCAGTTATGTAAGCCAAAATCTGTACAGCCAAAGAGTAAAAGGTGACAGCAATCAAGGCGTGTACATAACGCGATTTTATGACATCATACCCCGCTAAGAACTACTGCAACTTTAAGAGCAGCAGGGATTTTGCACTGCACACATGCAAAGCAGATTTCTCAGTGTTGTTCGAGTGAGGCCCACATTGGCACAGGAGCTGGTTAACCAGGCAGGGCTCCCACCTCTAGCCCATATGAATCTCAGGATGCAACAGGAGTCAGGGGCTCTTTTCAGGCAGACACAGGTGTTTGCCTGCATGAAGAAATGGCATCTTCTACTCAAATGCCTTCTATGTTCCCAGGGTTAGTTTTCTGGTTTGTTTTTCCTTTAAGAATCATACTTGTACAAAGAGAAGAAAATGAAATCTTGAAATGTACTGCTACCCTCAGCACTGCCTGCCTCTAAGTTGGTTTATTCTGAGAAAGATGATTATATATGAAGCCAAGAAAAAAAGACCTTCAGCAAGAAGGGGAGATGAAAAATGTCAAAGAGTTTGGTTTTTTTTTTAAAAAACACATTTCTGACTGCGTTGGAATGGAAGTCTCAACGTATTCTTGATAGTCTTTCTGTTGTCAGAGAAAGTTACGGAGCTGAAGGGGCCAGACAGCACCAATTAAACCTCATTAGGTTTAAACCATTCTAAATACGGTTTACAGTTTCCACCTGTACCCCCAAGGCTGTCCCATGTACTACTGCAATTTGAGAAACAAGTAGAAATACAGAATGAACACAGGGGCATAGAAAAACTGATCTGCAATTATTGCACATCAGTTCAGGTTTCCTACTCTGATAGTTTTGACCTATCAGTTAACTTTTTTGTCTTGCTGTGTTTTTCATGTATGTCTTCATTAGTTGTGACAGATTTGGCCACTACTAGAAATAGAAGAACATAGTAAGTAAGTTAACTGTCTCATAATCTGTATTTTAAAATAAAATATATAAGGCTACAATGCCTTTAAAGATCAAGTGATAAGACTAGAAGAACAAACGTAAAAATGAATTACTGAGATTCAAAGTAACAGAGACACAGCTCCTCCCAACCCCCTTGGCATCTGAAATTAATTTCAGCAGGACATCTGTGCTTACCGTGTCTAACATCTCCCGTGTATGTGCAGCTGACACACAAAACCGAGCCCTGGACTCTGTGATAGGAGTAGCTGGAAACCCAACCACAACAACCCCGATATTTTTTTCTAACATGCGTCTTGCAAAAGCCCTACAGAGGGAGGAAGAAAAAAAACAGAAGTAAATTACCTCTAATAAACTGACCACAAAGAGAAAACATTCAAGTGTAATAAAACAATGGGTAAAATCTTGACTTCAATTGAAGTGGATGGTAATATTCTCACTGAATTCCATAAAAGCCAGAATCTTATCAGTAGGACCAAATTGTTTGCTGTTTAACAGCTCACAAAACCAAGTGAGTATCAAATACTAGTGGTATGACAGCAGAGGAAGTATTGTAGAGTAGAACCTAGTCATTCATGTCAATCAAAGGCTTTGAGTGCAAATCAAAATGTATGGGCCTTTGCAGACCTCAAGCACTGAAGAAGTCAGGCCTTTGGAAGGTCTTGGAGCTTGTTTCCAGCTCATCAACAGGAATTAAACAAACTGTGTGATGGTTTAGTTGCTCCTACAAGCATTCTGCTTGTTTGGGAGCATTTTGCGAGGCCTGTACTACACCTAGAGCACACAGCCACTCTAGGTAACCTGCAAAATCTCCCCGTGTGCTGACCACTATATTTGTTATGTCTGTGTCACAGCATAAGTGCTGCTCGATGGGTACTGAATGGTAAAACATCTTCTCTGTGCAAAGATTGTTCGAATATCAGATGGGGATAAAGAGAATCCATCAAAACCAACTCATACATCAAAGGCTATTTATCCCTTTCAAGGATTGCTAGTTAAAAAATCCAATTTCTAAATGTTATCAGGAATGTTATTCCATGAAATCACCTAACAGATGCTGCTTCTCCTATGAAACATCTACCAAAAACAACTATATTTTTCTATATCTATCAACTATACACAGCTTATACCAAGTAACCTTCAAAGTGGAAGATGTTGGTTTTGCTTATCAGATGTTTTCAGTACTTACCCTATCTTACCAGGCATATAAAGGAGTAATGGGACCACAGGAGAATCATCATTGCCATAGATGATGAAGCCCATTTCGTGCAGTCTTCTTCTGAAGTATCTCGTGTTTTTCCCTAGCTGGCGCACTCTCTGGAGCCCTGAAATGTGTCAGTTGGGAGAACAGTCAGTGCAAAGGTAATGGGCTGGAAAGGAAACAGCTGTAGGTAACAATTCAGAAAGTTCAACTGAGATACACGCATCGCCGCTTCATTTAGAATAAAAGCATGGAATGAGCAAAACGCAGATATATGGACTGTTATGGCATTGTAGGACAGACAGCTGATATTTCTGTGCTTTCAAGGTGCCTTCCCACTGGCAGAAACCGTCTTGTTTCATGTCTTCTGGGGATACAGACGTGAACAATTCGCTTTACAGTACTGCAATGAGTAAAGTCTGCTGAATGACACACACAGAGGAGCAGGTATGAGTCATTACAGACACAGGGCATTATAGATAGGTACATTCTCAACACAGTTCACAGTAAGGAGAAACAACAGATCTCAATACATCAATATATTCATATATTTTCTCACTGAAGGCATTCTACAAGACTGCTCATATCTTAGGCAGTTATCTTACTCAGCCTATGGTAAGCTTAAAGACAACTCGCTCTCACCTTCTTTTGCAAAGTAAATGAGGAATGCTCAGATGGAAAATGTGGTGATCCCATGAGATGCTTCCCTATTCTTTCCAGAGATCCCAGAGGCCCAACCTGACAATTCCTTCCATACATTTTGTCACTTGCATCAAACAATTCACACCCTCTCATTCACAGGACAACGCTCAGCTACACGCAAGCATTCAGAGTAAGCAAGTTATGGAATTATATGCAGTTGTAACCATACATGTTACTGCAGTAAGGACAACTGTTAATTGATGAGAAGCTTTAGTTTTGTGGCATGAAGTCTGATTTTATAAGGAATTCTAATTGATCCAAAATATGTTGTCTTAAATCCTGTCTTGCCTAGTCCTTGATACTTCTTTGAACTACTGTATTCACTTCAGTAATGTCCTGTAGCATGTACCATAGGTCCTGCTGCAGACACTATGCAGACTTGCCCTGGTTTCTGGGGATTTGAGCCACTGCTGTGCTCCAGCACACTGCAGGACTGTAGTTTTTCAAACATTTCAGACACAAATTTTGGTTCCTACATTATCCTCATTCAGCCACTAATCCACAGATATTTCCCCCAGCAGAACAGACAGAAGACTTGAAAACAATTATTTTAAATGTAAAAAAAAGAAAGAAAGAAGGCCAAAAACAGCAGAGAAAGTCTGCTATAAAAGTCAGCTCAGCTTTCTTTTGCAGTGTCACCAAGAAAGCAAACTGACAAGCACAGTTGCCTCCCTACCCACTGCATGCAAAAGAGAACACACTCATCATTACTGTAGGCAGGGGCCTACAGAGAATGCCCTTTCCCCACTCTACCCACATTATATTTCATCAGTAAGCTGATCCATGTGCTGCATTTCTAATGCTGTACGATGCTGACAGGGATGATGCCCCCTAACCCATACCCACACGGCTGCTGCTTCCCGCTGCCTCCCCAGCACCGGCCCTGGGCTCTCACAGTCACACAATGAATCAAGCCAGGTCCTCCACCTGCTGCTCCTGGCCAGGAAGAAAACTGCCACAGCACTGTCATGCAGATGAATTCTCCAACCACTGGCACTGTGCAGGCACTTGTGCTCACAACAGAGGATGTGCTAGAAACATGTAGTAAGAATGGGACTTAGTTGGACAACATCTCAGCTACATTATCTTTTGTTTCTCTTGTTCACTAGCCCATACTTCCAGTATTGCTTAGATCACCTCACCATGCACAAGCACTGAAGTCCCCAGTACAATTCATTCTCTCTTTTTCCATTTGCTTTTACGTTGCCTTTGCACAAGTGGTTTTTGTTTTCACTTTCCGTTTACTTTTTCATTTTACTTTCCTTTTCGTTCCCTTCATTCTCCACTTACAGCTTTCTGCTGCCACCGTTTCCCAACTGGGTGCCTGGTTCCTGATGTCCCATCTTGCTCCTTGTAACTCAGGCACTTCCACCTGCTGCACACCACCTCTGACACACTCGTCCTCCAACCACATTCTGCTGCAGCACCTGCTGTGCCTTTTCTTCCTGTCCCCTCCTGGCTGAAGTGCGGATCACCATACCTACATAAACCTCTTCTCCACTAATCATTTCCGAGCGCGCGTAGGTCTGAACAAGATCTACTGCTTCATCTGTTCTGTATCTTCCCGAGTGAAGGCTCTGTCAATGTTCTGGCTGGAAAATTTATAGGGAAAGTGGGACTTGCCGAACAAACTAGGAGATCTCATAAAACCAGTGAATATGTAACTTTATGCATGAACTGCCCACGCAGACAACCTGTTAGTTACAGTTTCGGTCATTCAGCTTAAAGCATTCGGTGGAAGAGATCTGCTGGGTTAGAGAAGGCCACAAATAGTTTAACCATCTCTCTAATGCTGCTAAAACAAAAACAGCTGTGCCAGAGAAAAGAAAACAAATGAAACACAAAAGCATCCTACTACAAAGCTTTCCAGTCACTAATAAAAACAATAGTCTGTGGTATTTCCAAAAATATTTCTGGTGTAGTAGATCTTAAAGACCAGGAGGAAATAGTGGGGAGGAGTGATGGAGGCAGGGGAGGTGGCAAAGGAAAGGGGCTGAAAGAAGAACTTCAGGACAATGTGGCTGGAGTCTGACGACAGAACCTTTTAATTAAGACTTCATTAATGTCTCCTGTATGCCCACTTTACAAGGAGGTGGGTGGGGAAGTGAGCTGAACGGGGGGCTCACAGCCACTGCTGCTTCTTGCCGTCTTAGCCGCCCCTAAGCTAGTTTCCAAATGCTCAGCATTTGAAACTACTAGATTTTCGATTAGGGAAAGTTTTCATAAATACAGATGTTCTTGGCGGATGCAGCTTAATACTTGCTGCCTTCTCCTCTCTATTCAGCTGTTTACCACAAAGCTGGAAACAAAGTGTCAGCCACGCAAGATTCCAGGCCCTTCAGTATTTATCAAACCATATGCGCACGGCATAGGAGTTGATCGTTTCATTTCTCTTTCTTTTAAATACCAAGAACTTCAACTCCAAAGCAAAAGAAACAGGGCCCTAAGTGCCAAACACCTCCTTTTGCAATTCTACCCTGCTAAATCCATGTCCTCGAACAGCTGGTGATGGGACGGGTATCCTTTTGAAAATCCCCACGGAACTCATTTGAAGAAAGCCAACGCCGATGCAAAAGAGCCACTTCAGTGTTTTAGAAACATCTCGAAATAGTAATGTCACTTGCAGAGATGCATTAAAGAGCCTAATAAAAGATCAGAGCATTCGCATATATCTGGAGGGGAAAAAAAGCACATTAGGAGACGATTGCTACAAACACTGGTGGGTGGCTGGCTGGGAGGAACCTACTTCTTTACCAAGTGTCAACACTTTCCTTTCTCATGTCAAGTTTTGTGGTCCAAGACCACATACACACAGCATATAAACAACCATCTTATGCTGTCCTGATAAGAGCAATAAAACCCTTAAGGTTTTCAACTGTATTTCAGTGCTTTTTCTTGTCCTGTATGGGACCCTCCAAAGTCAGATAGTGGAGGCAGATCAGAGCAAAATGTTTATTTTGGTCTCATTGGCTCCATTTTCCCCCTACACTGCAGATTAAATCAGCATAAAAGTGATGGAATTCAGTTTAGAATTAGATCTTAGACCAAATCTCACTGTGGTATGTTTAATCACAGGCACTTTATTTAAGAACTATTTTCTTTGATTCTTGAGGCTGTCATCTTGCATCTTTTAGTCTTGCTAACCACCTCTTTTTATGAGCAAAAATCTGCAGAGTCAGAACTAAAAGGATACAACTGCATCTATTTGAGGGCAAGAATTTGCCTGTACAGCACTAACTACAGGATCAGAGCCTCAGCAAATATATTTGTTCAGAACTTCCTAGTTTTCAAAACTCTTGAGGATTTACAGCCTCCACAGCCTATGCAAATAGCCTACAGCATAGCTTGGAGGATACTCAGGTCGTTACGCTCCCTAAAACAAGTGAACCACAACACAGCACATGTTCAAAGAGAACAGAAAGCCTGGACAAAGGAAAACCGACCCTCTGCTAATTGAAATGAAGCCCACTAATGCTCCCCAGTTTGCAGCTATGGTTGAGAATGACCTTATTAAGAGCTGCACATGTTCTTTTTAGCTGAATTGAAAAGAGACACAAAGAGGGAAAACTGAAGGATAAAGGATTCTTAAGCTTCACAAGTTGTCTTCATATTGCCTGGAACGTACAGTGATACACAGGTTACTGGCATTGTACTGAAGTACTGATTATTTACTTGTACAGCACACCTACTGCTGGTACCTGCAGAGATTACACTTGTTACACTGCTTTAAAATATTTATGTCAAGATTCTAAAGTGATGGAGATTATAGGAAAAATGGTTTATCTGACATGCATTATTGCACATTGCCAGTTTTAGCTCATTAATCTCTGTAGTCTTTTCAAAGGCATTACAGCTCACAACTAATATGGTTTAGTTTAGGATACAAACCAACAAAAACTAACAAAAACTAAGAGAAGGCAAGAGAGAAGGCAATGATAAAAGACAGGTGGCCTGCTCATGATTTCTTTGAAGCAACACTTGTTCAGAGTCACGTGGAGCAGAGGAAGCAAGGGACGCTCAGTGGCACGCTGGACTACACTGCAGACCTGCCTGCAGTGAGGAGCAGCTCTGCACTCTGACAGCAGGAAGGCATCCTGACTGCGGGCCTGACTGCAGATGGGTGTTACCTGGCACAGCTCCACACACTTCAGCAGAGCTGCGCTACTTACACCAGCTGGGGACCTTATCCTGGCAGCAGAAGAGGTAGTAAAACTATCAGCTCCTTGAAACAAAAGCTTGCTTTCCTCTTCCAGAGATGTCTGCTTTTTCCTCCTGCAAGGTTTTAATAATGAGAAGCTGGCTGCGTTCAGTTCTTGCACAAACACGCTGTCTTTGAACTCTTCCTGTAGGCTTCCAACCTTGGAAATTTTGACTCAGTATATTGAAAACAGGAATAAGCAACCTGTAACCTTTCCTATCCAG